TAAAGATGTAGATTATACTTTGTAATTATTTTATTATATGGATTATATCTAAATTAATAATATACATGTCATGTAAGGCTTGTGTAATATTCAAAATAATTTGTTTACAAAAAAGTCTTCATTATTAGTAACGAATACTTTAAAAAACATAATAAATAGGTTTTTAATGTTTTTTTTTCTTTATTGTTTTAGGAAAACGCATCTATTGTTGATGAAGTTTGCATTTTACAAAAAGAGCTCTCTGCTGCTCGATCAGAGAGACTGGCTCTAATAGAGAGACTTATGTTTTATGAAGGACTTGAAAAAGCTGCCGTAGGACAAGATCAGTATTTAAATGATGGTCGAATTCAAGAGCATTCGAGTAAACAACTGGAAGAAAAACAAAGTGATCTGATTAATAACAGATGTGAAAATATATTTAATAACATGCCAACATTAACTCAAACGTTTCCTATGAAATTGAATAATATTCTGGTACACTCGATTGGTGAAATAATTCCAGCGAATCCTAACTTCCATACGGCACACTGGATATACCCAGTTGGATATGTAGCAACAAGAATATATGCACATCCACGAGATCCGCGAAAAAAATGTGTATTTACATGTAAAATACTTAATAATGCTGGAGTTCCTCAATTCCAATTAATTCCTGATAATGATTTAGATGGAGTGTTTTTTGGAGAAACAGCTAACAAATGTCATCAAGAACTGCTTAATTGTATACTGGGGTTTACACATGATTCTTTAAAAAATGATTTCAAGACAAAGGGAGAAGAATTTTTTGGCCTATCGAATCAAAAAGTACAATTTCTTTTGATGTCAGATATAAGAATTAAACAGTGTACTAAATTTAAAGGATATATATTGAACAGAGAAAGAGAGCAGCGTGAAAATAACGATCCAACATTATCCTTTGCGGACCTTCAAAACTATCTTAGATAATTTTTTTTTTTTTTTATATCATTGCAGAATAATTGCAGAAAAGGAAATTAATTGTAATAATTTAATTTGCACCTTATCAATAATAATGATATCACTCTGATTAAAGTTTTAAGAATAAAAGCAATATCTATTCTATCCGATAATTTAAGATCAGTTTTTCTTTTTCGATTTAAACAGAAATTTCAAATTATCGGTTTTGTGCAATGTCTTTCTTGCTGTCCGTCCGTATTTCCGTATGAACGGTATTTATTTCTTAAAACTATTGACAAAAACGCGAGTCAATTTAAATTAAAAAAGCCTAAAGTACAGGATATAATTTCAATAGTAACACCGACCCGATGGGGATATTTTATTTGCCAGTCTGGCCTCTAATGAAGCTATAAAAAGAAAGTGTTAGTAAGAAAACTTAAAAAAATATTAAATGTACATTTATTAACTATATTTAACATAATAATTCAAGTAATTCTTTAAAAAAATAATAAGTAAAACAAAACTTCTTACTCTCGACTCTAGTCGAGACTGCTCGACTAGGAAATACCCTGAACCCTCTAATCTGATATTCTAATCACTCTGCACTTCTTTTCGGCACACATACATACAAACGAACGTATTAGAACGCGATCTGCTAACTGCG